TAATATGTTGCTATATTGTAAAGTTCGGTATATAAAAGGTAAATAAAATCTAAATGCTCTTTAATAAAAAAGCAAATATAAGCACGATAAAGCGATTCAACGATTACTAAAGGATTATCTAGGGTTATTGTATAATAGGCAAACATCATCTATTGGCAATGTGTGCATTATCAAATGCATGGTATAGATGTTCAAGACTAACAGCATAACTCATTTCTCCCGAGATCTAAATACCAGCATACTACATTTATAACGATGTCCGATGAATTGACTAAATCATTTCTTGACGTCTGTAAGCAACAGGGTGGGTGAACAGATTATGCTATTGGGGGCCTTCGCCACCCCTCCTACTACACATTCGACCCCAAACAGACCCACAAAGAGACATCATCCATTTTTTTAACATGACTCACCGCTTCTCATATAGGCAACACGGAAATATTCTTGAACGAAACGATATTCATTTCTTGGATAGACTCCTTAGAAACACAAGGGGCAGCCAACCTATGTCTGCGGATGTCTTAAAATATGTATTACTTTAGAGCTAGCGAAGAATAAGAACATATTAGGGTGGCAGCGTGTGAAAACCCTTTGGTATTTGTTTTGATATTTTGATCAGGCAGAAAAAAGAAAGCTAGTTATGCCCCAAAAATAGAACTTGTAAAGCGCAATTTCGTTTTGAACAAAGTAGTAACAGCTGTTGTCTGTTGTAAGGACATTTTTTAACACATATATTGTAATGTTATTAACTGTTTCGTCTTAGAGAAAATTGACAAATGTTTGTGTTCATTTATTCACTATGTGGACTGACTTACCGTCGAGAATCTTTTCCATGGAACAATTCCTTAATTAGACTAACGGGGTGTAATATAATGCCAATAGTTTCATCCTCTCTATAATTTCTGCATTGCTTTGTTTTGCTTTTATGCTTGTTTATTTCTATGTTGGCACATGATGAAAGGTCATACCCATCATTATTTCATTTAGACAGAACGTATTGTCATGATCATATTCAAACGTACAAAGGAACATCCTTTTGTTTCTTCTTGCTTTTACTCAGTTCCGCATATAGTTCCTGTATTATATATCTATTACCATCAGCAGATCCACTGCATTTCATTGCTTACGATATCATAAATCAGATGGGAAAAAGCGACTGGTATTCTGTTGTTTTTCTCTGCGATTGAAGTGTTAGATTTTTATTGTTTTATACAAATACAATAATTTTATGGTCAAAATCGGCCGAAATATTATGGAAAACATATTGCGATTTAAATGTGCAGCAGATGACTTCATGTTGACCTCTTTGTGCCATTGGTGACTTTGACTCGTGCAGCTTTGCTTGTGATTGGGTTTGGAATGTACGCATTAAGGCGGCTGACTTTCCAACAAATATTGAAAGTGGTTCACAATATTCTATCGGGGATCTGCAGGTCATATACAGATGATGGCGACAACTCTTAAGGCGGTAACCATCGTATTAAATTTACCAAGAAAGCTGACGAAAGCGCAAAACAGGCCACTTTTTAAAAATCGCATTATTTGCCGGTACTGCTCTTGGAATAGGACTCCCACACAGAAGCTGCCACTTTGACTGTTTTGTCGTTATTGTCTTTCTGTCAGAGGGCGTACAGCTTGTGATGAATTTTCAGCAAGGTTTCTGGATGGCCTTCTCGCAGGCTTTGGGTCTTTCGCGCGATATTAATCCGTTTCTTTCCCACTTTGTCAAATACAATCAAAATGTATGCCTTATGCGATGCCGTCAATATTTTACTTTTCTTAGTTCTATATTTATTAACTTAATCTGTGATAAGGCTGACTTCGGAGATAGAATTGTGTCATAACTCCTTGGATTTGTGGTCTGAGATTGTGTTGAGTAGCCTGGACGCTGATTTTGTCCGTCCTTTAGCAGTCATGGATAGTTGCCAGTCATCGAAGTTTCCTGCCATATAAATGAGACCATGGCCCACCGCTGTGACATCACGACTGAGGGGCTCAAATAATTGTTGATATTATTCCAATTTCCAGCACACAGGTGGTGTTTATAGGCAAAGCCGTCAGTGTGATGTTAACACCATCCACAACATTTTCCGCGTGCTTATACTCTTTGTATAGAGCGAGCCGCTCTTCTATATCTGATAGGTAGACGATAATAGCCTTGCTTATCCTTTTTAGGCGCAAATCTTGTCGGTCCTGACGTTTTGGGTATAGTGACATTATAATTTCTCCATATGCAGCGTGATATATATTTATAATTTCATAATCTATATGACTCTGTATCATTTAATCATGTTTTTTCCTTTCATTTTTTAAATTACGTCTCTCCCATGCCGTTCTGACTTTTCATAGTCAAGATTGTGTATGTTTACCTACAAAAATGTAGAAGAAATATGTAAATAGGGTAATAATCACTCATCAGTTTAAGGTTAGCTTGGTCGTTTAGAAATTAGATTTGGCTGTTTAAATATTTCAATACAGAAAACATTAAAAATAATATTAACTTTATCAATTTCAGATTCGTTCAGCAATATTCTCATCATGTCGGGCAATAAGTAAGCCATGGTAAAATTAATGCTATGAATCGCATGTCAGTCCATAAGTAAGCCAATGCAAAATTAGTGTTGTAATTAGCAAATTTGTAACATTTGCCACAACATGATAAATGAAAATTTATCTGATCAAAACACTGATTGAACATACAGCTTGCCTCCAGAATAGTCGTTATGTTAGAGAGAATTATACATTTAGGATAGCCCTAAGCAATCCATCTCAAACTTCATGCAAGATTGATAAAATATGCGTTCGTGTTTGATAAAAAGTAAGATAGTTCGTTATTTTAAGACTTCTTCCCAGTATTTATCTCCCTTGGTCATTATTTTATGATAATGATTCGGGGATACTAATTTGGTTAAAAGAGGATCGTAATGGTGGGGTTGTACTATGTTTATAATGTGATTCCTCAAGCCTAACAAATTCTTTTATCGACCGCCTGTTTGGGGTCGAGTTCCTTCTGGAGGTGCTGAAGTGCTATGCGGTTTCTAGAGAGGGTAGTTGAACCACGTTCGAATTTGTAAATTCTTTGGTTGACACGCATGCATTTTGTGCATGTTTCATTATATATATTTCATTTAGTGTTCGTCTCTAAATATTTTTTGTTTTGCTTGTAGTTTGCATTTAACGCCATTATAAAACTACTTACCCTGTGTTTTAGTTTTCTTGTGCCCTTGACAAATTGTAACTATTACAATTGACCAATATTTTGTACCAAGCCCATGCTCCTTTAAGGCGCTAACAGCTCTTGCACTCTTTTTAAAACATTGCTGTATATGCATTACGATGCTCATTCATAATGGTTTCTGGCACATTTCTTTGCCGCCTAATATAATCCAAATATTGTTTTGTTTTCTAATTAAAGAAATTCACACAGTTTAAAATGCTGTTTTTTATTATAAATTCTAAAATCTCCATTAAAGACCATGACCTGAGATGAGGGCTTGGTGGTGGCCATCCGTTCTATATCTAGGTAACCTACCGAAGAGATGAACATCTGTTTAGAACATGCCTATTTGTTTATGTTTCTCTTTGGAGCGGCGTCGGCTCGCTTCAAGAAATGGAGGCTATATGTTGTATGTTTATGGGCCAGGTTGGGGTGGAATGTGCGGAATTATATGTAGGTACGGCTTAACCGTCCACCTTTAACCCACCTTTCATCATGCTTCCAGATTTCGACGTATCCAAAACCGAAAGTAAAAGTTAGCATTGAATAATGCAACTTTTAGCTATGAGCACAACATTTAAGCACTTAACTGTAGATCCCGAGATTTGTAATACCGAGGGGTGAGTGGCAATTTTCAAATTAAATATTTAAACACACGAATTTATCGTAAATTAACCAGAATAATTCGATGGATCCATAACTTTCTATAATTCAAATATTACAGATTTTTCGGATCGGACACGAGTCAGATAGTTGTCACGGTTATTTATTTGATAAGTTTTTTTTTCTCAAAATTATTATGTTAAGTATTGCAGGAAAAGCTAATCAACTAAAAATGTTCCTCTTAAGATAGAGTTAATACTGTTGGAAGAATTGTTAAACTGAACAATGCTTTGAAAATGTAACTTCAATTAGGAATATATAATGGATGATAAATACTGACTGCATATTTGGTGAATGGTAATGAAGAAAACCCATACAGCAAGCATGTCTTTTAAGTACCGAACGATTCCATACACTAATTAAATTTCTTATATATTTACTTGATGACCATATGTTTTTAAATAGGTCATATGAAATCGGTCTAATTTTAACTATTCCAATACTATCGTAATAATGTTAGTTATAAACCTGGTCATGAGATGAAATTTACTATATAAAGCATGGCAGTATATGAAAAAATGCAACTTTAATGAAAAGACGGGAATTTAATTGCTAGTGACCTTTCTGGAACCTGCCATTTGACGCCTGCTCGTTATCCTACACAGAAACCAAGATGCTAAATTTAACAAACATTTGTTTCTCTATTTAGTCTCTAACATTGCATTTAACTTAGAAAAAATAGCATCGGTCAACAGATCCACAAAAAAATGGTGAGAAGAATCATTAACATATCCTTTGGAATCAAAATAGGATGGAATAACAGATGATTTGGTGCAAAGCTACTTAGTAGGTATGTTAGCATATATTGGATAGCGTATACCACAACGGAGTCACAATTTCGTCCCAATGTATTATGAATAAACAATATGATAATTCCCATACATGAATTATTAAACACCCAGAATTAAACTTTCATTCCACACCTACTGCAACTAATTTTTTTAACCATGATCTCTCTCTTTCTCTATCTTTCTCGATACACACAGACACACACACACACACACACACACACATATATATATATATATATATATATATATATATATATATATATATATATATATATATATATATATATATATATATATATATATATATATATATAATTTCGTCATAACCCGACCACTCCGATGGCCTAGTGGTTAGAGCGTCCGCCCCGGGATGCGGGAGGTCCTGAGTTAGAACCCTTGCCGAGTCATACCAAAACTTCTAAATATGGTACTAACAGCTGCCTCGCTATGCACTAAGAGGTTAGTGTTAGGACTAGTGGACAGAGTGTCAGGATAATGTGACTGGGTGGGACATCATACTACATGTCTGCGGCATGATGCCCCAGTGCTAGACATCACTGTAAATATCACACTGCAAACATAGTAGCAACATGACCGAAAAATTGTTAAAGCTACGTTAAAAATCTACATTACACACACACACACACACACACACACACACACACACAATCAAAAACACACACAAACACACATACACACATACCGACACACACACTGGTCATATTTCTTTGTGAGTTCATTCAGTAATAAGGTCTTGATATAATTGAATTTGTAGAGCTAACCAATTCTCATATCCTTAAAATATTGTTTTATTTTTAAAAATTGAAAACCAAACTAAATCTAAAACAATCTAGAAATGTAACTACATGTCACCAACATGCTTCATGCAGAAGAAAGATTCGCGTACAATCAAATAATTTTGCTATTATTTCCTTGAGTAAATTTATACAGTATAAGCCTGTAAACCTTTAAACTAAAATTTGATTCTTGTCCTAGAACTGTTAAAATATTAGTGACTTGCATTTGTGAATTTAAATATTTAATGAATTCTTGCAGAGTAAATTACTTATATTTCACGTAGCATTAAAATGCTCGACGAAGAATTTCTTAAATAGGTACGCCATATACCAGTTGTCTGCTAATGTAGAAGACAAAACTTTTATATAGATGGTGACTCCTTTATGGATAAATCGCCATAATTAAACCCGTTAGCTGTTCGTTGACAAGGTCTAAGATTTAAAACAATTCTAGCATAATGCAAAACGCGCCTCGTTTATGCTTGTCAGCTTAAGGCTTTACTTCATTTTTCTGGCTTCTGTCTGCATATATAATCAAACATGTAGAGATGAATCCACCAAATAATGTATCTTTTTAAACTTTAATTAACAATTCATCTTGAAGAAACAATAATGTCACCAGGAAATAGCTAATGAAGCTACAATGTCGAAGAAAGTCTTAGAAAGGACAAACAAGAGAATTACATACCCATCGATTGTTCTAACCCTCATGCAACTTTAAGCATTACTGCATCACAAACATTGGCATTTATAATGATTTTTAGCAGACGTGCTTGTCCATCCATTTTCCATACTCTCGTGAAACTTCAAGCATTGTCGTTTAAAAACTGCTGGGAAAATTATGTGAATGAGAAACCAAATACTAAACTGATAGAGTTGAATGTTTAAATCTAAGTTCAGATACTTTACCTATTGATACACAAATATACAATTATATGCCTTAAACCGTCAAGCATAACACATTTCAGATCGGAGAGTTTAATAGATCCATACTATGCCTGATTAAATTATAGGAAATACCTGATGCCATATTTATCCGAGCTGTATTCTATACCATGTATTAACGATGCATGACGGTAGTTCAGCCAGAAATGCAATTATGAAGACAAAGTAACCTTATACGTCTCTGTTACGTAAACTCAGAAATGGCCCCATGAGGTAATAAATAATATACCGATTATTTAATATCAGGATTATGGTAAAGTATATTTATTTAATTTTCCTTCAATAAAGCGAATTTTGACCTTTTTCCAGAACTAGAGACTTATTATTCGGAGTCTTTCTTACCGTCGTTAACCATAAGCTACACATACTACTAGGTATGCTTATGTAATAATGTAATAAAACTTAATGTAATAGATCTAAGGTATGTGCTATTTTAATTAGGTCTTAAAATTGAAGTAAGATTTTAGTGATTATTTGTTGGTCATGGATAGCCGGTCAGGTTAGAAAAATAGTTCTCAAATCGGTTCATTAGCCACATTCTGAAGTAGACGCCATAATGTACATTATTCAGGAGACTGAATTATGACAGCATGGATAAGTTTTATAAAGTGAACACTCTTTAATTTTGTAACATTTATATTTTTCCTTATTAAGTAGGTATGCTTGTTTTAGCAATTTGAGCTAGAAATAATTTTTGCATTGGGTGCTTCGGTCGATTTATTATTATTGCTTTTGTTTTAACGCCATTTTTTAGCACACGATAGGCTATACATTGGTGGACGGAGAATCTTTGGAAACCCATATAACATAACAGGGAAGCTACTGGTAATCTTGATTTACAATGATCGGTAATGGTGAGCGACACCCTGTATTGTATAATGTGACGTACTATTATTCGGCTTCAATGCCTTGCTTTGTAAGTCATACAGATGTGAAACAAGAAAGTGCAAGCGTAAAATTAGACTTTTGCAATCGGTGATCATTCGACGATTAGAGAAAAATTATTTGCAGTATTCGCTTGTTTAAAGAATCCTTCAATTGATAACGACTGTTATCTTGATGTCCTTGGAAATATAAGGGAAATGTGGATCTCAAGCCAGGCTCAAGAAGCGGTATTCGTCACTAGATAAACAGCTTATTTTATTCCAAAAATTATGTTCTCTCAGTATAATCGGTATCTATGTAATAACTTGTAATGAAGAATAAATTGGAGCCGGTAATGCTGTTAGGAGGTAACAATTCTCGCATATGGCGATTGTTGTTGACAATTTAGAAGTTGGTGTACTTCATTTTGCAGCACAACTAACCAATTTAGAATAATAAATTCAGTACCGATGTGCGTTTTATATAAACATAATAATGTAAGGAATTATTGATCATTATTTGAACACTGATTGAACGCTGACATAAGGAAGGATAGTAAAGCTCTTTTGTAGCATCAGCAAGAAGCAGAAGTATTTTTCCAGCAACATGAAAATCAGGAAAGGATAAAGCAAGAAGAAGACGAAGACGAGAGGAAAATTTCGTATGGTGAAGGGCAGAAGGATAAACATGAAAACAAAACAGTGTCTGCTAGAAAATAGTGTTGTGAAGATAAAGTATTAAGATGATGACATGTCCAAAAGATGGTTTAGCATACAAAATTCCCTCCCCCCTCGTCTTTTGGGCCATCTTTATCTCTAAGAAAAGAGATATTACTCAATGATTGTCAAATCAAGTAAAGCTTCATTCCGTTTCTCGCTTTGATTTCGTGCGTGTATGAGTGTGTCTTTCAGCGTGTGTTTAAGTATCTTATCGATATTATAAAATATCAAGAGAGAGAGAGAGAGAGAGAGAGAGAGAGAGAGAGAGAGAGAGAGAGAGAGAGAGAGAGAGAGAGAGAGAGAGAGAGAGAGAGAGAGAGAGAGAGAGAGACTTGCATTTACATGTATATTCTCTTTTGAAGCACAATGAAACCTTTAAAACTATCGCGAAAACAAATGTCTTTAATATTTTGTTACCGTCTGTCTCATTGATCAGTTTCTTCAACGGCATTGACATTTTCTTTTCCGTATTGTTGTCTTATGGTTATCTTGACTACATGCTTTTCATGACGAGTGTGGGTCTGCTTCTCATGCTTGTTCTCTTTTTCCATTGGACACCTTGAAGTCCAATGCTTTTTCCCTGACAACGATAACATATCTATACAATTATCGCGTTTCTTTGGTATGCCGTTGTGGACATTCTGGAACTCAATGTTCTTTCTCTAGACAGATAGGGCAAGTATCAAGAGATTTGACCCTAGGAAGAATAGTAAGTAATCCTTTCAGAAGTATTCTTTATAACTACTCTGTAAACCTCTGATCAAAGCGGCGATCGATTTTGACTCTTCCGTCTCCATCTTTAGCGACTGAAAGCTAAAATAACTGTGTATACTTAGGGTGAGCATCTCTCTCTTTCTCTCTCTCTCTCTCTCTCTCTCTCTCTCTCTCTCTCTCTATCTCTCTATCTCTCTCCCTCCATAGATAACAAGCGACAAGATCATGAGAGTTTAGATCCACCAAAAGAGTTAATGTCTGTAGTTTATGAAAGATTATTTATACATTAGAGAAATAAGTGACTGATGGAAAATTGAGAACTACAGATTACACCTACACGATGAATTTTATAAATCTGAAGTTCTAGCCTAAAAACAATCAAGAAAGCAGGTTTCTATACAGATTTGCTAGATTCCTTGTGATACAAACTGAAAATACAATGCCAAGGTAAAAAAAAGAGTATGAAAGTTTAAAACTATCCAGTCAGATAGAAGGTTCCTATTTGAATCGACTTTAATATAATGACAGAATTAACGCCACACCTAATATTGAACTCGGTCAACAATCCGATGACGAATATACCATGATCGATGGAAAATTGAAAAAATAATATTCCCATTACCTACGTTTCACCACCCATAGGTAGCGGACCACGCAAAGTGTTCTTGGTGGATGCCATTTGCAGTACCAAAACAAACGCAGTATTGACCAAATTAACAACCATAAGGCTAGAAGTGATTGTCACGTACCATCGGCGTGGGGCGAACACATGGGGATGGAAGAAGATTGAGACCGCAGAGTGGAAAAACATCATGTGACAGCATTATACAATTGGATATAGCCAAAGATCGAAAAGAGCTAGAAGTTTTTGTATCAGGTCGGCATTTCAAAAACAGACCTTGCGTGGTATTTCTAAAACAAATAAATCTTTAAGACGTGAATATTATCTTTATTATCTTTTTCACCTTGAATGCAAGAGACTGGTATTAACGTCTGGCTCAACGTACTTTTTACAAGTGTACATAAAAACGTATTTTTTTCACTGTCCCAGCTGTAATAAGATTCCAGTGTTATATATATCTGTATTGTGTGTTCAATGTTTTTCCATGACTGATGACTGTTCTTAGAGCTTTAAATCGTATTTTTGTTTTAGTTTTAAACTCGGCATTACTATCTAACCTGTTTACAAGTTTGAAGGTTCATTTTTGATTGGATGGTTTTGAAGTGCAACATGGGTCAGATGGGTTGCATTTCAATATTAGTCATGTATTGACAAACAATGGACATGGAGGAATTGCGATATACAGTCACAATATATCAGTGGACATACATGTAAGGAGAGAAATGAACAAATACTTGTATTCCTAC